CCAAATACTGTGCGTTCCCGACAAATACACACACACTCCGAAGTGCATGAATAACTTAAATTCATTTGTTGCAAAGGTGTTCATTTACAAATTATTGGCTTTGCAAGTTTTGTATAACTAAACGATGATGGAGCTGTGGTGTGTATTTTTCAAATTATAAAAGTTTTTACTTCAGAAGTCAGATACACACACACACACACGTACACATGTACCACACTAAAACCTACTCTCTTACTCACACACACACATTGATTCATTCATGCAAAACAAAACGTTCTGCTATAGCCCCTCAAACGACAACACCTCAACGTGTGTCGGATACTTTTTAATTATTCCAATGTCTGAACAAGAGAAGGACGTCACGAACACACACACACACACTCACTCTCCCAACGAGCGACAATGCGAACGAATGTGAAACGAAAAAGGGAATACAAGGAAATAAATGAATTAGCGAAAAAAACAACAAAATAATTTGTAACTAAATTAAAGGTTACAATACAATCACAAATCATGCCACTTATTAAGTTGATAACTTTTTCTCCTTCGGGGATTTTCACTCCTTTACTTGCTGCCCATCTCTCCCTCTCCCACCTTCAGGTGGCATGATTTGCCTCACTTATTCTTTTGGCTTTTTTTTCTCCCTTTTTTTCAATATAATTATTCATTTCATTTCTGTTGTAGTTTTTCCTCTTTGATAAATGTGGCATTTCAATGAAACTGTGTTTTGCCTGCGGGGGCTCCGGCACACTGAAAGGTAAGACGGAACTTCTTGTATTACAATTATTATTGATGACTCCCATTTGGTCAGTGATACGGACACATGACATGACATATTTAATTAAAATCAAATGTTAACACCTACTCATTAGCGATAAACGATTGCAAGTGAAAGGCTGAAATATCAATCGCAATTGAAATGTTTTGATATTTGTGGCGGGTAGGGGGTGGTAAATTTCTTTTTATAATTTTGTTTTTGTGAGTGGAAGAGAGAACAAAAGAAAAACATCAAAATGCGAAATTGTCAGGTTTGAGATATTTTGATACCCTCCGGCACACTATGGTATAGGGTATGGCGTTTTTATACCCTGCACCATAGTATGGAGGGTATATTAAGTTTGTCATTCCGTTTGTAACACCCCGAAATGGACATTTTAGACTCCAGAATGTATATATATATATTCGTGATCAGCATAAAATTCTATGTCGATTTAGCAATGTACGTCCGTCTTTCCGTATGTAGAAATCACTGTAGCTTCCGAACGAAATGAAGAAAGTTGATAAAAATGTACTAAAATGTGTATTATGTCTGTAGGACTGTTGGTATTGAAAATGGGCCATACAGGTCCACGTCCACGTCTAAGACAGAAAATTGTCTGTGCAGGTCCACGTCTTCGTATAGCCCCCATATAACGGTACCACCCGATATTAGGTGTTTTGATGATTTTAGCGACATTTTTAACCGAAAATGTTACAAATTTCGCTTTTGAAGTTCGTAATGGATACTACAGCCTATGGCAGATAATTGTTTGTGCAGGTCCACCTCTTCGTATGACTCCCATATAACGGTACCCCTTCGATATTCGGTAATTTGATGATTTTAGCGACATTATTTACCGGAAATGTTACAAATTTCGCATTTGAAGTTCGTAATAAATACTGCAGCCTCTGACAGAAAATTGTCTGTGCAGGTCCACGTCTTCGTATAGTCCCCATATAGCGGTATTCCCCGCGGTAGTCCCCGATATTGGGTATTTTGATGATTTAGCACATTATTCACGGGAATTTTTTCAAATTTTGTATTTGAAGTTCGTAATGGATACTACAGCCTATGCCAGAAAATTGTCTGTGCAGGTCCACGTTTTAAAAACCACATGTTACCTCCCTATATTCGGTATTTTGATGATTTTAGCTACATTATAGCCAGATATACTTCAAGTTTCGCATTTGAATATTGCAATAGCTTATGACAAAAGTTTCCTATGCAGGTCCACGTCGTCGTATAGACCATAATATACGGCTGCTTTCGGTATTTTTAAGATTTTAACAGAATTTTTAATGGATTTTATTTTATTTTTTGGAAAATTGCCAAATTTGTACCAAATGGTGGAAGGTATACAAAGTTTGGCTCGGCCGAACTACAGATTTTTACTTGTTGTGTGTTTGTTAATTATATGCAAAAGGAAACGAGATAGATCTGTAGTTCATTTTGGACATCTGCGCAGAATCACATTCTGAGTCATCAATTTTTGTAACCATCTTACAGATTATTGTCCAACTGACATCAAATTCATCACAGTCAATTTGTTTCGGTTAAAAGCACACTCTACTGAAATTGCCGGTAGTCGGTTAGATTCGCTAATCTCTTGAACCGATTTCGATCAAATTTGGTAAAATATTTTCAGGCAACATCTCCGATTTTATATAATCTGTATATTCGCCACAAGATATGACATACTGTCTTTAAATACCTTCCAATTGTTGTCTGGAATTGGTACGGTCCAAGGATGCCACATCTGCGAAAAGTAATAAAATGTACTAAATATGATACCCTCTATATTCGAACCATCTGAGCTAGAACTTTTGAATGAGGAATGATGGTCACTGATGGAGTGTATGATGGATGTACCAAAGGTGTTTGGTAATTTACATCCTGAGTGTACGAGAAGCACTAAAATGTACTACATTTGGAACCATTTCGTATCATGTGAACGGTTAGAAACTTGAAATTTGGAATGGGAATCAAGATTGAGGAATAGGCTCGATGTAAATTTTGAAATTCACCTTACTGGCGGTGTGTATTATTGGAATACCAAGGTAGTTCTTGGAAATTGTACTTAGGGTGAGATGAAAAAACTGGAACCAATTTCAGACTGCTGTCATTACTAAGCCACTTGTCCGACAGCTGTTAAAATTATTCTAGTGACAGCTCAATATATTGTTTACAAGCGTACAAAAGCATTTTGGTGAGAATTTTCCAGAAAAAAAGTTATTCGTGATGGAATTCAAGCGGGGTAGTCTGATTTCTTTATATTTGGCTGGAAAACCACAATTGGCTATCGTTAGAGCACTCCAGTATTTAAATGTGAATAAATCTTTTGTGTCTCGTACCATAGCTCGTTACCCTGATACTGATAGCGTAGCCCAACGTCAGGGAAGTGGACGGAAGAAAACAGCAACATTAGCAGAAATGGTTCGAAAAGTAAAGAAGCGACTTGATCGGAACCCTCGTCGCAGTGGCCGAAAAATGCCGAACATATCGTAATATTCCACTCGCAAATATTAAAAAATGAAATCGGGGTAAAGCCATTGAAATTCCAAAAAGTACAAGAACTTACACCGCAACAGAAAGAAATTAGACCCGAAAGAGTTAAAGAGTTGTTTCGCTTGGCCGAAAGTGGTTAACTGCCCAATTTGGTTTTCACCGAAAGAAAACATTCGTTGTCCAGCAGTTTGTAAACAACAACAACAAAATGACCATGTTTACTTGCCAAAGAGGTCAGCTGAAAATGTGCACCTTCGGTTGGCCACCAGAACTCAAGCGCCGGACATGGTCGCTCTCCGCTCGTATTAATCGACAGAATAAATGCCAAATATTATCACGAAAATATTCTGTGTGTCGATCACATTCAGAAGCGCTTCGCCGTGAATAGGCCAAAAAACCGCAGAGCAACATTAGCGTGTGACAGTTTCATTGGCCGTAGCCGTGAAGGCCATAATACGTGCCAAAGGTGACCAATTCGAACAAATCTAAACATATTATAAAATTTGATACTATTTCCGACATTTTTTGGCTTTCATTCATATCCCGAAGCATTTGTATCTTTTAAATTCGGACTTGTATTGCCCATTTGATCCCAAATTTGAAATCAGATAAAAATATATATGGGAGCTATATCTAAAACTGAACCGATCTCGATAAAATTTGGCAAAGATATTTCTGAGCTGTATTTGATATATTTCCCTGGATTTCGTTGTTACGGAGTGCATATTACGGCTGTGGGTAACAAATATAACAAATCGGATGAACAGTATATATGGGAGCTATAGCTATATCTGAACCGATCTTCACCAAATTTGAAATACTAGCTTCCAGACTCAATTAGGTCGTAAGTGCCGTAAGTGGACAAATATTACACGTTTGGTGCACAATAAAAGGTAAATCGGACGCAGTTTAATATGGGTGCTATATCCAAATCTGAACCGATCTCGATAAAATTTGGCAAAGGTATTTCTGAGCTGCATTTGATATATTCCCCTAAATATTGTTGTTCAATAGGGTTCGTCCTTGGGCCAAACAAATGATTTGTGCAAAATTTCATCTGGATAGGGCAATAAATGCGAACTGTATTTTGTTTACAAAAATACATGGACAGACGGACGGACGGACGGACGGGCATGCATAAATCGACTCAGAATGTGATTCTATGCAGATCATCAAAAGGAACTATGGGTCTATCTCGTTTCCTTTTGTCTGTTACAAACAAATGCACAAAGACATAATACTCTGACCACATTGTGGTGTACGATATAAAAAGCAAGTCAAAATATGTTTGAATTAACAGGCATGGCCTGTGAGTATACATCTATATTTAAGATCGACTGATAGGTTCCAACTCCGCTATTTTGAATAATCCCAATACAATTCAAACTAGATATTTTCTTTGGCACATTCCATGATGTAAAAAGCATGCGTGTTTTATGAAAACATTACTGTGTATATATGGCTCGATCAGCTCCATTTTATAAAAGTGTCAGATCCGCCGTATTGCAAAATAATGGACTTAGGGATGGAACGGTGTCATATGTACAATTATGTCAAGAAATAATGCCTACTTTCCTTTAAATATGCATGTCCTTCTTTTCCAATATTCCTGATCCCTTGAAAACCTCAAATAAATTGAATAAATCCCGTTTTTTAATAGGTCTTATTTAATTAAATATTCTATTGGCTGAGTTATTATTCTATTTTTTTTTTTTTTTGTTAAATTACAACTTACCAGCAATGCAATGGAGTATTAGTTCTCACAGGATTGTCATAGAGTAATGCGTTGCGTATGAGCGCAGTCTAACGCTTCACCCACCAGTGACCCCCCAACCGCACTACTGCCGCAGCCACTTAAGAATGCATGCAGTAATTTAAGTAAATTGCACTTGTTTGTAAAACAAGCCTGTAGTACCACCAATTGCTGCCAATCAAATGTTTTCTGCCTGTCTGACTACCAGCCTGCCTGCCTGCCGCATAATATTGAAAATATTGATTTTCCATTTGGCTATTGCGTCGAAGACGGCTGCGACGGTGGCGGGTGGATAATGGGTGGGTGGGTTGATGGCACACAAGACAATGTGGATGTCGACGAAGCCACAAACAAAATCCTCGGTAATGTATTTTGAGCACCGACTAACGGGTCTTGTTGGTAACTACAACACACTTAAAAACTGCACAAAGTAACACATGAGAAACTAAACACTTGATAACGGTTTTTTTGTTTTTTCTTCCTTTATTTTCTTCTTCTTCTTCTCCGTTTTATCCTTTATGGTGGGAGGGGATTCGTATTACTTTTCTTCAAAGTTTCGGTTCGTTTCGGATTTTTTTTCCAACAACACATATTTGTTTGTGGCAGCTGTTGTTATTGCTGCCTGCACAGAAGTTGGGAAAACAAAATAACATGGCCCACATTGACCGCACAACACAGGGGGAACTTGGGTCGGGTCGAGACGCGAACCCACGATGGTGTTGGCCACAATGTCTTCACAAACACATTTCCAATCGATTCACTGATAGCAAAAATGATACAACAATTATTGCACAGTCCATTCTTATTTTTTATCAGCACACATACACTCGCACGCTCTCTTCTTTAGAGAAGGATTCCGCTGTAGTGTAAATATCCATTTAATTTCTAATGTCCATATTTCTAATATTTGGTTTATGATTTTCAACACTTTAATCAATTCCAGTCATTGACTGAATGGCTGATTGACTGCCACTGCCTCTACAGTCTCGCAGACCAAAGGAGACAAGTGCCGGATTAGAGGACACAACCACTCCAGTCGATATGTTACTATCAACTGAAAACATTTGATGATTAAGGATATTTTGTCTGCTACAGCTTTTTACAGTTAGCTGGTGTTGGTAGCAACACCAACGGACCCACAAATGCAATGCCAACGACAGCGACAACGGTAGCGAGCGCCAGCCTGCCAGCCAGCCAACATATTTACTTCAGGACAAAATGTCCCGAACTGACTAACGAACAAATGTGGAATCGAGACGACAACGACGACGATGACGACGAAACATAACGTATCAAACACCTATACAATCAAACAAATAACAGATACAACATGAAACGACAGACAACGCCAACACCGTTCGTAGAGAGCATAAAAAGAGATACCTCAACTGTAGGGTTGCCAAGTTAATTTAGTGAAACTTTTTTACCCAACAAAAAATGTGGGAACTGTATAAGAGGTAGTTTGAAAATAATGGGCTGTTCTTAAAAAATATACTTCCAAAATGAATGACTTTGACAGAGAGAGGGAGAGACAGAGAGAAAAAGGGTGAGTGTCCAACAACAATACCAAGCGGTTGTGAAATAAAGACTCAGCTTCGACAGACGAAGAAAAAATAAAAAAAAATTAAAAAGTATTAGTCGGTTTTGCCGACAGGTATATATACCTTTCCCCAATGTTCGTTTTTACTTGCCTTGCTTCCCGAGGGTATGGACCAATATTGTCAATTTTCTACACCTTTTATGAGATATGTGATAATTTTTGGGAAATGTTGATATGTGCGTGAGATACCAGATATAGTTGACTTCATCTAATACTGATACAAATATGTTCAAAATTCAAAGTATATAAAACATTTATTTCCAATTTTATAAGAACACTTATATCGAACATTTATTCCATCCTTTGGGGAGGTAACAGTAGGAGTTGGATGATAAATTCCATATTCACATTAGATATCTAATTGAGAAAAATAATTACAGGGTGAGATGAAAGAACTGCAACCAACTTCAGACTGCTGTCGTTTCTAAGCCACTCGTCCGACAGCTGTTAAAATTATTCCAGTGACAGCTCATTATATTGTTTACAAGCGTACAAAAGGACTTTGGTAAGAATTTTCCAGAAAAAAAGTTATTCGTGATGGAATTCAAGCGCGATAGTGCGATTTCTTTATATTTGGCTATCGTTAGAGCACTCCAGCATTTAAATGTGAATAGACCTTTTGTGCTTCGTACCATCGCTCGTTACCGTGATAGTGGTAACGTAGCCCGACGTCAAGGAAGTGGACGGAAGAAAAAAACAACATCAGTAGAAATGGTTCGAAAAGTAAAGAAACGACATGATCGAAAACCGCGTCGAAGTGGCCGAAAAATGGCTCGTGAGCTGAACATATCGCAATATTCCATTCGGCAAATATTAACAGCCTGTTCCACGATCTCGAAAGAAAATTTGTGCGAACGAAGGCTACTCACTCACTTTCGCATAAGAATGCGTTCCACTAACTTTCGTTCTTTCTTTCGCATAGCCTTACGTGATTCAGTGTTGCAAAATATTTTTTGGCAAAATTAATCGCGAAATAAGGCAAAAAAAGCGCCAAATGTCTAATTTAAACGCGAAAAAGCAGCAGTGGCTCTGTCTCAACTGACAGTTCAGTTGTAAACAAACAAATTGTAAATAAACAAACAAAATAAAATTTCTAGTGATTGTGTTCAGATTATTTGTGTTCTTAAAAAAGAAAAAAATGTATATTTCTGTAGCCCTATTTTTTATGGATGATGAGGAGGAGGTTCAAATTGTGCCACGGAGGCATTTAAGAGATGCTTCGAATTTATTTGAAGTACCTAACAACCAGTAAGTATGATTGTATTTTTACATTTTTGAAATAATAAAAAAATGATTTTTTCTAGGTTTGTGTCTTCCAGTGGTCTTCATGGGATTGCCTGCTGCTTCCAAAAATTGGCACTCCTCTGCCGAACTTAGGATTCTCCCCCATATACTCAACTATTGCCCGCAGCTGTGTAGTTTTTTCGTGCTGGAATTGAGAAAATAAAAAAATGTATATTTGTTGTTCACAGATTAAATTGCATTTATTATTTTTACTTACATTTTTCTTTCCATTTTCAATCAAGGAATGTTTATGTTAAAACAATTTTCCTTAATTTTTATCATTCGACAGCAAACACACAAGTGACTGATTTTGACATTTGTGTTCGCATGCGTACGAAAGAAAAAAGATAGTGGAACGCAAAATTACACTGAAACGCTTACGTTTTCGTTCGCTTTGATTTTCGTGCAAATTTTCGTTCTGATGGATTTTAGTGGAACGGAAATCAGCTGTTTGTCGTGTAAAAGTTGTGCGAACGTGTTCTTTCGACATCGTGGAACAGGCTGTAAAAAATGAGCTCAGGGTAAAGCCATTGAAATTCCAAAAAGTCCGAAAACTTACACCGCAACAAAAAGAAAATCGACTCAAAAGAACTAAAGAGTTGCTGGGCCGAAAGTGGTGTACTACCGAATTTGGTTTTCTCCAATGAGAAAATATTGAAAACGAAATGAATGAAAATGTGCACCTTTGGTTGGCTATCAGAACTCAAGCGCCGGCCATGGTGATGGCTTTAACCGCCGATGGTCGCTCTCCGCTCGTATTAATCGACCGTGGCATTAGAATAAATGCCGAATATTATCGCGAAAATATTCCGGAGGGTGTATTAAAGCCTTGGGAACGCAACATTTTGGCGTCAGACCTTGGACATTCCAGCAGGACTCAGCACCATCGCACTCAGTACGTGGCACCCAAGCATGGTTACAAAATGAGGTTCCTCGCTTCATTCCCAGCGCAAAATGGCCATCAAAATCTCCGGATACCAAGCCGTTGGACTATAGTGTCTGGAGTATTTTAAAAAGCAAGGTTGGCACTAAAAAATACCAAAGTGTCGATCATCCCAAGCAAGCGCTTCGCCGGGAATGGGTCAAAATACCGCAGAGCAACATTTGGGCAGGGTGTGACGGTTTTATTGGCCGTTTGAAGGCCATAATTCGTGCCAAAGGTGACCAATTCGAACAAATCTAAACTTTTTCTAAAATTTGATGCTATTCCCGAGATTTTTTGCTTTTATTCAATAAAATTTAAAAAAAGTGCAGAAATTTTGACTTTTGACTTTGTTGCAGTTTTTTTAATTCGAATTTCCGAAAACCCAGCCTTAACGCACTCCTACCAACATTGGCCGACATAAAAAATTTGATGAAATAAATATAGTGGTCATTGGCAACCCTGTGCAACATGTCAAACCTTCCCAACACTAACAGTTCGGCATTAGGCTAACAGTAAGTATAGTGGGGGCAGTAGCAGTAGCATAAGACAACATTTGGTTCACGAACTGTCGGCAAAATGTCTATTTTGTTTACGTTATGCATTTACGGTGACAAAATCACGAACACGAACACGATGAAAACCGAATATTAAACCTATTTTACAAAAATGTTTGTATTTCTAAAAAAAAATAAGAAAAGCTGGATTTAAATTAAAATAATTTTTACAAGAAAATTTAAAAGTTTTCTCCAATTATTTTACAATTGAAGGCAAACTCCTCGCTATATATGGATCTTACCTCACTACGCACTGCAACAAGGACTCTGGCGTGGAACAGTTCCTCTCAATACACAACAAACGCAATCTCATCATCACCTTAATTCGGGCACTGGGCAGCATCAGATAGATGCTCGTCTATCACCCACACATCCTCCTTTCTTCTCGTGGCCAGAAACTGGCAGTTATTGCAACCCATGCAACAAACCCATTTACCCACTTTGACAATAAATATATAATTGTTTGCGTGTGTCTGTGTATGTTACATGTGGAACGCTTTATTTGCGCCTCAAACGAAACGAAACGAAACAAAAAAGAAAAAAAAACAACAAAACATATCAAAAGGATTTTTAGTGCATCAATTTGTGGGTGGATATAAGCCAATGACTGGTTTATTTGTCAGTGTTGAAGGTTGGCTATTAAATGTTCTCTGTCAGCAGGACTCATATGTCTGATGGTGAATTCAAACGTGTTGCACCAACTGAAAATGTCCTCTGAACTTGTTGCGTGTAGACTGAGAGTTGTATGACTGCAAAATATTGTTTAAGGGGAAATTGATGTTGTGGCTCTCAAAGAAAAGTTTTGAGGCAACAACATATGGCCAAGCATAGGGAACAGGTTATTAATGCAACTAAGGATATCAGTTTACAGCGTATTTCCTGGAAATCATAAATAGATTTCAATCTATGTTAGGCACGCCCCTTTTAATATGCGTTAACATGGGTTAAGTGGCGTCGAAAAAAATGTATTTTTTATTAAAAATTATTCCGATATGGTAACGTTTAAGGAGGCCAAATTTGAATCTATATTGAAAATGTAAGTTTTGTAAAAATCTACCGAAAACTCCCATATCTATATATTTTTTTATCGCCAAATCGAAACGACGAGTCGAACATAGAGCGACACAATTTACCTTAGATTAATTAATTAGCGGGTCATGATAAATCGGCTCAGTCGAGGTTGCCCCTAACAGGGATGGTGCATCATGTCATCATAACATTTCTGGCTCATGAACGAGTTAAGAGCGGTCCCAATCAAGAACAAGTAAAAAGCAGCTAAGTTCGGCCGTGTCGATCTTATAATACCCTCCACCATTTGGAAGGAAAAAAACTTAAAACCTTTATATGGGGACTATGCGAAGACGTGGACCTGCATACGAAATTTTTGGTCATAGGCTGTAGTGCCCATTACGAATTTCAAATGCGAAATTTGTCACAATTAAGTGTGAATAAAGTTGCATAAATCATGAAAATACGGAGTATTGGGAGGTACCGTCATATTGGGGGCTATACGAAGTCGTGGACCTACATACGAAATTTTTTGCCATAAGTTGTAGTAAGCATTAAGATTTTTTAATACGAAATTTGAAACGATTTCGTTGAATAATGTTGCTGAAATCGTCAAAATTCAGACTATCGGGGGTACCGTTATATGGGTGTTATACGAAGACGTGGACCTGCATATGAATTTTTTTGCAATAGGTTGTAGTACTATTAGGATCTTCCAGTACGAAATTTAAATCGATTCGGATGAATATTATTGCTGAAATCATCAGGGCCAAATTAACCCAATTGCAGATAAAAGTTTCGGTTTGCCCAAAAGATTAGTTTGGTCGCGACGAAGCAATTGTGGCCTGACTGCTATATTTGTGGATGCCTTGGCACCATCAGTCGTTTCGAATGGGAGTCCAAGTCCACAACAAATGTTAGGTGTGTTAGGATTCACAGTTACGTTACGATTCTCAACATTTTTGATGACGTACAGTCCAATAATTCCACCATCCCATAAACCGCACCAAACTGTGATTTTTTCTGAACGAATTGGCTTAGCTTTTGCAATGCTTCTGGCTGGTCTTCACTCCAGAATCGAAAATTCTGCTTATTTATGTATCCATTGAACCAAAAACAATTTAGAAAACCAGAAAAGAAATTCTAAAGTCGGGCGTGGCCGATTTTATGATACTCTACACCACTTTGCTAATTTAGTAGAGCTGCGCATAGCAATTAAAAGTTTTTTATGGGAGAATTCAATCATACACGCGATGATTATAATTATAATTTAAAGTTCACAGGACTAAATATGCCGAAGTATTTGTATCTTTTAAATTCGGACTTGTATTGCCCATTTGGGAGCTATATCCAAATCTGAACCGATCTCGATAAAATTTGGCAAAGACATTTGTGAGCTGTATTTTATATATTTCCCCAAATATTGGTGTTGCAGAGTGCATATTACGGCTGCGGAGGACAAAAATAACAAATCGGATGAACAATATATATGAGCCAATCTTCACCAAATTAGGCATACTAGCTTCTAGACTCAATTCTGTCGTATGCGCCAAATCCCATTTGGGCAAGTATTAGTCGTTTGGTGCACAATAAAAGGTAAATTGGCTGAAGTTATATATGGGAACTATATCCAAAACTGAACCGATTTCGATAAAATTTAGCAAAGGTATTTCTGAGCTGTATTTGATATATTTCCCCAAATATTGTTGTTGCAGAGTGCATATTACAGCTGCGGAGGACAAAAATAAGAAATCGGATGAACAATATATATGGGAGCTATAGCTATATCTGAACCGATTTCGATCAAATTTGGCATACTTATTTTCAGGCCAAATTTAGTTGTATGTGTAAAATTCCATACTATTTGGGCTCATGTTAGACGTTTGGTGCACAATAAAAAGCAAATCGGACGAAGATATATATGGGAGCTATATCTAAATTTTAACCGATTATCTCCAAGTTCAATAGGGTTCGTCCTTGGGCCAAACAAATGGCTTGTGCAAAATTTCATCTCAATCTGCTAGTAAATGCGACCTGCATTTTTTCACAAGAATACGTGGACAGACGGACTGATATTCATAAATCAACTCAGAAAGTGATTCTATGCAGATCATCAAAGGGAACTATGGGTCTATCTCGTTTCCTTTTGCCTGTTACAAACAAATGCACAAAGACATAATATCCTGACCACCTTGTGGTGTAGAGTATAAATATCAGTTGGTTTGCCACCAGCTGTAAGTAAGTATTTTAAATTGTGAACCTTTGTGGAAGAGGTACCAGAAGGGGTGGGCCAATGTTTATTATCTTTATGCCAGATCTTGTATTAATAAAAATTTCGCGATGTGTGAAATTGTAAGGGTATAAGAAGCTTATGTCGTATTTTATTTGCGTTGTGGTTATTCAAAATGTTGACCCTTAAATGGCAGGCACGAGAAAACCTGGAACCACGAGAAAACCTGGAACCAACACCCGATCTTGTGGAAATAAAACTGTTGAGATTTGTCGAACCTAAAGAGAAAAGAATGCTTATTTCGCATTTTATGAAATAATTCATAATTTTGACCCGTTGAGAGTTAGGTACCAGAGGGAGTGGTCCAACATATTCCATCTTCATATCAAGTCCTGTGTTAGTAGAAATATTGTGCTGTGCCGAGTTTGAAAGTGATCGAATGTTCACTTCGCGTTTTATGAGCTTCATTGTTATTGAAAGTTTTGACCCGTTGTGGGGGGTAGGAACCGGAAGGAGCTGTCGGATATACTCGATATCCACACATGATCTCGTGTTGGTAGAAATATTAGGATGTGTGAAGAGAATACGTTGCTTATTTCGAATTTTATGAGAGTTATAATCATTCAAAATGCTAACCTTTTGTGAGGGAGGTATATGATGGAGTGGACCGATATTTCCCACTTTCATACCTGACCTAGGACTAAGTAAAATATTGGGATTTGCAATGTTTGCACAAAATTCAATAATGCCTGTTTGCTGTATACGGTAAATTATTTTCTGTGAAATTG